TCTTATATTTTTTTGAACCCTGAAATAAGCGCTTGGCCTTATTTTCGGGAAGGTCTTATTATTTTGGGGCGCATGGAGCAAGATGGGGCTCCTTTTGCCATCTTACCTGATTTCCAGTTCTGCATTTAAATATTTTCAGGGAGGGCTTATTTTCGGGGGTAAGCTTATTTTAGCACATGCACTCAAAAGCCCAATTGGGCTTATTTTCAGGGGATGTCTTATTTTTGGGGAAACGATATGTTTTCTGAGGTTTTCGCGGGTGTTTGTATGTAGCTCTTTGGTTATTCGGGTTTTCTCCCGCGTAAAATTGGAAGTGTCTTGGTGACGTTTCGACAAAGTCTCATTCGTCATCTTCAGGCTGGTGTTTTCGGCTTCGTGCTTCTAGGAGCAATGCGTGATCGCAGCTGTTTCTTCCTTTTAACTGCAGTGGGGGTGTGAACTGATTGGGTGGGAGCTTGGCTGTGTTCTGATTGGGTGGAGGTGTGTTCTGATTGGTTGGGGGTTTGCCTGTGCTCTGATTGGATGGGGGGTTGGCTGTGCTCTGATTGGATTGGAGTGTGTTCTGTTTAGGTGGGGGCTTGATTGTGCCCCCACCTAAACAGAACACATCCCCTGCAACTCAGACTAACCCAAGCACAACCAAGCCCCCACCTAAACAGAACACACACACACACACACACACACACACACACACACATATATATATATATTGTTCTACTGATGGTGGTAAATTATTTTAAGGCTTAGGAAACATACACATACACATACACACATACATATACATATACATATACATACACTATACATATAGTGTTAAATTTATATTTACTGACAAAGAAATAAAGGGAGACTTTGTCAGTAAATATAAATTTAACACAAAATAGTTTGTTGTGAAAGCGACTGCAGGAAGGCTCCTGGATTGGGGCTGAAAGGCGAAAGTAAGCAGTATGCTCCTTCCCATATTTCGGTAGACCAGGTTGCTTTGATAGAAAACTCTAGATAGATAGATAGATAGATAGATAGATAGATGGATGGATGGATGGATGGATGGATGGATGGATGGATGGATGGATGGATGGATGGATGGATGGATGGATGGATGGATGGATGGATAGATAGATAGATGGATGATAGACAGACAGAAAGACAGACAGACAGACAGACACATATACATACACATACATGTATGTGTGTATGTGTATGTGTATATATATATGTATATATATGTATTTATACACACACACACACACACACACACACACACACACACACACACACATATATATATATATATATATAATCTTTGATATCCTTTGGTTTCCAGCCTTGTAAGACATTTCATTAGGTTAATTTAGCAGTCTGTGAGCTCTGCTGAAATTGCTTGCTTCCCGGGACTTAGAAATGCTTCAGAAACATCTGCTGCCTTGTGCAAGGACTGACATTCCCAATAAATTATATTTATGAAAAGCAAACCTAGTTTAATCCCTTTGAGCTGCTCCCGAGATGGATTAAATGTCAGATCCATACTGTTATTCATGTAGGTGAGAAACTTGGTATGATTGAAAGGGGTGCCGATCTGATCTCTACCCTAATACCTCGTTCCGTTCATTCCCAAATTGCTATAAACTATCATTGGTTATGAAGTGGAGCAGAGTGTTCCAGTTTCTGAATAGTTCCTTCATTGCGGAATAGAAAAAAAATCCACTTTAAGGAAATAGCTTTTACGAGCAATTACGTGGCCCTCTTTTAACAGGGATGCAACCGATTTATAAAGTATTTCTAACCTTCTTTTTCTTTTGTCCCTTTCTCTCTGTTGCTTTTAAAATATACTTGGAGACATTGGAAGCATTCAATAGAAAATTAGTTTTCACCAAATTGGTAGTTAGTCTAAAAAAAAAGTAATATTGCATTTTATATGTTTTCTAAAGCAGGGATACAGTAACTCAACATTATTTAATCCCTTCCTACTTATTGTGGCGAGAAACCTACCTACCTCATACCTAAGGTGGAACTAGAACTCAGTGTCTGGTAGCTTTTAGCCTGGTACCTTAACCACTAGGCCAGTGATGGCTAACCTTTTTGCCATCATGTGCCAAAAGTGGGGGTAGTGGGGGGTAATTGCATGTGCGTGTGCCAACACCCATAATTCAATGCGCCCCATCACCCCACGCATGCACGCATGACCCCCCCGCTCTCCCCCCGCTTTTGGCACGCGATGGCCTGGTGGGCCCAGTAGGCCCCTTTTTTTGCCCTCCCCAGGCTCCAGAGCCTTTCTAGGAGCCTGGGGAAGGCGAAAACAGCCTTTCCCACCCCACCCCCCCGGAGGCCTTCCAGATGCCTGGAAACAGCCCGTTTCCCGACTTCCATGTGCCACCTGTGGCACCTGTGCCATAAGTTCGCCATCACGGCAGTAGGCCATACTGCCTCTCTGTTACATTCTCAAATTCAGAAAGCAGCACCTGCTTTCTGAAACATCCATTTTCCCAATATATCTGGGACCCACTCAGGTTGTGTTCAAAAGACCACTGAAACTATAGTTATTTCCCTTTCTTCACTAGATTGGTTGATTGTCCTCTGTGTTTGATTCTTTTCATTGTGGTTGTTCCTCCAGCATTTGTCATCTCCTCCTCTATCATCATTGTATGACTGTCTTATTGTACCCACCAAGGAATTTTCTAGTACCAAGAAATGGTATATTTTGTCAGAGTATGAATATTCATGGGCTGGAATAGATCAGCCAATGGGGACTGAATGGAGATATGGTAACAAGGTGAATAGGCATAGTAACAGGCTCAGCCAATGAGGCTTATTTGGAAAAAGAAATTTAGGTCTGAAGTTTGGGCATAGCTTAGGCAACTGAGTCTGTGCAGAGAAATTGAAAACAGTCTGCTCTGCTGAAATGAAACTAACTGTTCTCTCCTGCCTTGTGTTTTGCTTGTAACTGCTACTACGTTGAAGAAGAATCTATATTTGTATTGTACATTTATCTTCATGTATTATAGATATATAAAGAAGTTAATGAATCCTGCTGAATCAGTTTACCTGTGTGTGCTTTCTGGGTTTGATTTTCTGCAACAAACTCCGATATATTTTGGCACAGTGGTTAGAAAGCAGTATTGCAGTCTAATTTAGCTCACTGCCAGGAGTTCAATCCTGATTGGCTCAAGGTTGACTCAGCCTTCCATCCTTCCAAGGTCGGTAAAAATGAGTACCCAGATTGTTGGGGGCAATATGCTGACATTATAAACCGCTTAGAGAGGGCTGCAAAACACTGTGAAGTGGTATATAAGTCTAAGTGCTATTGCTATTTTGCCTCCAGCAAGTTGAAGTATTTACATCTTTGCATACCGATGGACAAACATATATTTATTGTTCATTTCCAACCACAGTCTATCGTAGAAATATAGATATGGATACACTACAGTTCTCTTAGATTGTTTTTATTTAAATATTTCACTGAGTAGGAAACTTTAATACTTTATATAGTGTAGTCTTCACTAAGTGGTGTTTGTTGTACTTAGCTTAATAATAAATGCATGTAGACAAATTAAATTGATGTAAACATATGTGGCCTTAATCTGTGATGACATTTTATTTGATTAGTCAATCCACTAATGGGTATAAGAAAATCACCCTCTATCTTTTGTTATTTGAAGTTGACTCTGTAATCTTGTATGGATAAAAGAACTTAACATGGCTGACTGGTCTTCGATGGATTGCTTCAGTATTTGTGCGTTCCGTGTTTTTGCGTTGCCAAAAGCTGTTTGAAGTTCTCAGAATAAAATAAATCAAAATATAAAAAATGCCAGTGATTAATGAGCAAATGAAGATAAAAATACCAATGATTAACAAAGTGAAAATCTTCAGCCTGCTTTCCTGAATTTCCCTCAGTCCGCTTCCCTCAGACTTTCAAAGACCTTTACAGCCCAAACGTTCCCTGCTTTAGGGAGAAAAAATATCCACTTTTATTTATTTTTGAACGGTTGGTTTTGCTTTTTCTGGAACTACTCCCAATTTCTCTATCAGAGTAAACAAATTCTAGTAAAAAATTATGTCTGAGTGAATAACGACAAACAAAACAGGAGGGGAGAGAAATTAGAAGTATAAAGTGTGATTTTAATGTCTCGGGTTAATAGAAACAAAACTCGCTTTTTTTTGAATAGTTAAATGAAATTGACAGGTACAAGCAGATGCTTGCTTGTGTGTATTTATACTTTCATTAAAATGAAGAAGCTCTCTGTTAGCACCAAAAAATAGTGGAACCAGCCTTCTTGTTATTGACTGGAGGGTTAAAGTGGGGTTGATAATGCCACATTCAGTGAATTTCTTAACATGTATTAATTCTGCTGCAAGATTTTCCAGCTTCAAGCTAAGGGGATCTACAGATATGAATGGCATAACAACAGCTGCAAATTAACAGCTGTATATTTGTTCTTGGATCAAGAGGCAAAACATCTTCAAAAGAAAAAAAAAGAAAGTCCAGTTATCTCCTGAAAAAGCACCTTTGGGAGCTGTTAAGTACAATTTTGTATACAAAAATTCAGGAGAACAAAACAGGATATAGTCTTCAAGTTGGCCTAAAATGAATCCAGTGCGCTCACTTTTGGAAAGTCCTTGCTCTCTGATCAATGTCGAAAGACTATCATCAAGAGCAAAAATTGTCGTGTTGCTTATTCTATTGGTGGTGCGGAATAGTACATACAAGTTGGAAGTTAGTAACATTGTGTCTGTGGTCCACATTATCAGTAAGATTAAAAACAAGGTCTTGAAAAACAGAAGTGATATCAATTTCACTTAAGAGAATCTTAGAAACGAAGTCAATAGCCCTGTGCATGAAATTCAACAGCTTGCATCGTCTTGTCATACACGTCCTTAATCAGGAGCTTTTTGTCATGCAACTGTAACCTTACTTTTTTGCTTTCTGTATCCGTTGTTTTCCCCAGTGTTCCAGCCTTAATTTGCAAAGCAATTAATTTGACTTTTTATTCTGCTATCCACAGAAGGGGATGAGATGGGAGTGATGGATAATCTGTTGGAAGCACTGCAGTCTGGGGAAGCGTTCCGGGATCGGAGAAAACGAATGCCAAGGCCTCAAGGTAAGGCAAACGATTGCATTTGGGGCAGGGGCCTAAAAATATAGCTATTATTTGAAAGCACAGTAGTCATAGGGTTATGGGGAAGCCCCTTATGAGTTTCAATAGAAGTATCTTTTGGTGTAGAAGTGAATTGCCGGCGGGACATCACTGTGCAATCAACGGATGTAATAGGATAATTATAATAACTGCCTCAGGAAAAACAATCAAAGTTCAAGGAGCTCCTGTTTTGATTGATACCACTGTAAACGAACATAAATAATGCTCCGGAGTTTGTGGCAAATCATTAAAAATGTTCCAAATAATTAAATTGAGTCGACCGCCGATCCTCAGCCTATAAGAACCGATCAATCTTCATTTTTCATGGGTAAATTTGTACCGTGTCCTTCAGATTATTAATTTTGTTAAAATGCGCGCTAATGAACATTCCTGAGTTGTTGTTGTTGGTTTTTTTTTTAAGTGCTAAATGACAACACATAGCAGGTTTCTCTTCTCCGATCCCTCATGTACCATTATTCTGAGTTTGATTTGTGGTCTGCCATTGCTGGCCGTCTCATTGGAGTCTGAAAATGTGATTTAAATAAATCGTAATTTACTTGAAAGGCACCGTTCTTTTTTTTTTTTTAACTGACTGATCAAAATTTGGTCAAGGTGTAAAGCAGGGATGTTAAACTCAAGGCCCGAGAGCTGGATTTGGCCCACGAGGTGCTTAGATCTGGCCCAAAGGGCTGCCCTGGAAACAGCAAAGGACCGGCCCCCGGTACCTCTGCCAGCGAAAACAGGCTGTGATGGTCTCCTGCAACCATCTGCCAGCGAAAACAGAGCTCGGGAGGGCCAAACACGGCCTTCCTGAGCTCTGTTTTCACTGGCAGGTGGTTGCAGGAGGCCATTGCAGCCAAAAAAGGAGTTTGGGAGCTCATTTTCGCTGGCAGAGCGCTCAGGCCACCACATCGATGAGTGACATCGAGCTGGCCACGTCCACACACCCTACCCCCCCCAAGGTCAAACACAATCCTGATGCAGCCCGCAATGAAATCGAGTTTGACACGCCCCTGGTGTTAAGGAAGACAGAGGTAAAAGTTTGTATGTGCATGGTGATATCATGTTATTCCCTTACATATTTGCAATCCAACATCTGATGTAAATATGTACATATTAGGTGGGTTGCACTGTGATGTGCATATCTATGTTTTAGATGGAACAGAGATCAAAATGTAAAGGGCTGGAAATTTGTAAAGTAAGTCCCTGCTGTAAGCTTCAGAGAAGATCTGATCTGACCATGAATTGTTTTATGAGTGGAGAACAGGGTTGCATCTTCTTCCTCCTGTTTGCATTCATGTTCCTATGGCTATATAGAAAGTTATAACTTTCTCCTTAAAGATTGCTAGAGACAGACAGACAAGAGAGATAGAAATAGAAATAGAAATAATAGAAATAGAAATAGCACTTAGACTTATATACTGCTTCACAGTGCTTTATAGGCCTCTCTAAGCGGTTTACAGAGTCAGCCTCTTGCCCCCAACAATCTGGGTCCTCGTTTTACCCACCTCGGAAGGATGGAAGGCTGAGTCAACCTTGAGCCTGGTGAGATTCAATCTGCAAAACTGCTGGCAGCCGGTGATCAGCAGAAGTAGCCTGCAGTTCTGCACTCTAACCACTGCGCCACCGCGGCTCTTCCTGAAATAGAAATAGATATATATCTAGCAATCTTTAAGGAGAAAATTCCTGAAAGGACATTGTAGAGTTACGTACTATCAACTTAATTATTTCAGAAGGTTATCACGATTAACTTGTGATGAAATAAACAAAGAAAAAAAAATCGATTAACAAAGACTGAATAGTCCAACGTATCACGGAAGATTTAGGAGAAGATGTTGTGTTTTCTCTCACTTGTTTACTGACTTAATGTCATCTGATAGTTTCAAAGGTGGTTTCTTCAAATTCCCCAATAAACTAAATTAGCTAGGAGGTGGTAATATTGATCCCATCCTAATGTACTAAAAGGTCATTTAGTAGTTTGTGCATTTTGAAGATTACATGACAAAACCCAAAAGCTTAAGCTAGATGGATAGTACCTGTATATAAAGAGGAATGCCATTAAAAATAGTAAATATAGTCTTTCATGTCCAAATTTCTCTATTGCATATCAACATAGGACACAGCTGCCTTAAAGAGCTTCAGATAGATCAGTGTTTCCCCAACTTGGCTATTTTAAGATGCATGGACTTCAACTCCCAGAATTCCCCAGCCAGTATGCCTGGTTGAGGAATAGTATGCCTGGTTGAGGAATTCTGGGAGTTGAAGTCCATACATCTTCAAAGGGTCAAGTTTGGGAAACACTGAGATAGATGGTATATAAATATACCACCTATCAGAAGCTCTTTAAAGCAGCTGTGTCTTTTCTTAGGATCACTTGGTTGCCTCCCACAGCTCCAAAGCATCTTTTGAAATCAAATTCAAAGTCCAGCACAACTGGAAAGCATGATTTTCTAATGAAAAGTTTGATGGCTATGTGCATATTATTTGTTTGTCTTTCCCCTAAAGTTCTATTTTTTTTTTCATAATGCTGTCTTCTGAATTTGTGGATATCTTCCTAAGTAGGTATAAGATTGAAGCCTACATAAAGCTGAAAGAATTGCAAGTTTTTGTACATACATCTAGCTTTCTATTATATGTCTGTGTTTGGGTGTGTGTAAGCAAGAGAGATTTATTTGGCAGATTTTTAACGAAATGTCTGCTTCAGCAGATATGTATGCCATATTTTAATGGTGGGAATGCATTTTAATTAACTTCTTATAAGCATGACATTTGCGTGGTATATTTGCACCACATTACTCTTGAGATGAATCACATGTTCTATACCTTTTTCCCCTCGAACATACAGTACATAGCTGATGTTTTTGGGGCATAGGAAGATTTTAATGTAAATTCTGCATCTTCTATAGAGTTTTTAAAGGCAGTGATGTAGTGATTCAATGAATTAAAATGTCAGTACGTCCTAAAGTGCCTGTTCCTTTAACAATTCTGCTTGTCCTGCTTCATCTAAAACTATGAAAGGGACAAATTTTGTAAGGCATTTATCATACTTTCACCAATTATCTGTGACCTTTTATCCTAGCCACAAGCTATGAGATGATAAAACAAGACCAATTCTGAAATATATTCCCTCTAATATTAGCTTAAGTTATTTCTTTTCCTTCGTAGCTAACTGTTCTTATATATTTATTTATTTTTTACTTTTCTCTATGCTGCTAAATCTTTTACTATAAAATTAAACTTCTAGAAACATTTAATAGCTGCTGCCCTTTTAGGAATGTCCTAGTTCAGAAATATTGCATCTGCAGGCTTACTCCATCCTATAATTTCCTTCTTGCTGCAGAGTAGTTATCACCGTGAAATGGTTTAGTTACTAACTCTTGAGGCTGTAAGATAGACATTACGTATTGAAGACTGAATTGGATTGGTAGTGTTTCTGTATTACATGCAGATGCTCTGGTGTATATTCTACAAATATACTTCAAAATACAAGGCCTTAGCAAGGCAGCCACAATTTTCTCCAGAGTGGTACTTCCCACCATGCCAGTAACATATTGTAGTTCTTTTTATGGAGATGTTTCACATCGGTCCTAATTATTTTTCCAGCATAATCTGCCAAAGAGTTTCCTGTAAAACCCATACGTAAAATCGTAGAGTTGGAAAGGACATTGAAAGTCATTTAGTCTAAGTCTTTCTCAATCTTGACAACTTTAAGAAGTGTGGACTTCAACTCCCAGAATTCCACAGTCTCAGCATGCTGGCTGGGGAATACTGGGAGTTGAAGTCCACACTTCTTAAAGTTGCCAAGGTTGAGAAACACTGATCTAGTCTATCTCCCTGCTCAGTCAGTAGACCAGCGGTGGGTTTCACATTATGTTACTACTGCTTCGCCCCATGCGTGCATGCTCACTTTGTACGCATGCATGCCCAGTTCGTGCATGTGCCTGGTTCACACATGTGCCCGGTTCACGCATGTACCTGCCTTCTGCATGCGCCTGGCCTCAAAAAGTGCCTAAATAGGATGGCATAGAGCCAGGGTGAGTGTGCAGGGCCACCCACGATTTCCGCTACCGGCTCGGCTGAATACCACCTCTGCAGTAGACTAAGGCCCTGCATAAAACGGTGAGTTTTGCATCAACAGAAGTCTTCAAAGATACTCTAATATCTAGTTTGACAATATAGATATGGCTAGAAGTTGTACAGTCAATAAGCTCCACTGATATGAAATCTAACCCCCTCTTCCTTGTAGTTGTATCCCATTGGTTCCAGCCCTACCCTCTGGAAAGTAAAGAATAAAGATCATTCTTCTTCCATGACAGCCATTCTGAAGAGCTAAGGCCGTGATGATGAACCTGTGGCACGTGTGCCACAGGTGGCACACAGAGCCATATCGGTGGGCACATGAGCTCAGCTCCAGCATGATTTTCTGGCCTTCTGGGCCCCCTGGATGTCAGCAAACAGGCCATTTTTGGCCTCTGGAGGGCCTGCGGGGAGGGGGGGAAGGCCATTTTCGTCCTCCCCAGGCTCCTAGAAAGTCTCTGGAGCCTGAGGCGGATGAAAAACGGGCCTACCGGGCCCACTGTGACATTGCGTGCCAAAAGCGGGAAAAGCATGGGGGGTCGCGCATATATGCGCGGGGACAGGGCGCATAGAATTATGGGTGTGGGCACATACATGCACGACACCCCCCCACTCCTCCCGCTTTTGTCACGGGATGGCAAAAAGCTTAGCCATTACTGAGCTAAGGAGAAGTATCCACCTCTGAAGCTTTGCACTTCCCTAATATATACGAGCTGGAACAATTTAAGATGTCTGTGATTTTCTTAAGGATAACGGAGAGATGTGGTATTCAGCCGGTTCGTACTGGCTCTCCCGAACCGGTAGCAGAAATCACGGGTGGTTTTCCAGGTTATTCACTCCTATTCTATTGGATCCTGATCACATGGGGGTTAGACAGAAAAGAGAGA